CTGCTCTACTGCACCTTTCCTTTGACCTCACACAGGAAGTTGTCCTCTCTGTAGCTTAATTTCCTGCTGGTGCACTGGGAATAATCCCTCTCTATTTTAGTACAGTGCTGTGAATATGAATATTTATGGTTTAAGGTGCTTGGATACTAGAATGATAAGAGCCATAAGTACCTTAGTGTTGGGACTTTGCATACTTAAAATGTCAAAAGTAAGTTTTCCATTAAAGGTATTTAGCTCTTTTTTTTATCTGCCTTTCCTGACTGTGATCTGGAAAATTAAGTTAGTGTGTTTTGCTTCAAAGTTGTTAACAGATGTACCTGTAATGAGTTTCTGTTGGTAACTTTGATCAATAAGTATCCTGTTTAATAGCTAATCCTGTTCATAAATGGAATTCAGAAAGGCTTAATTCCTCTTTGTGAATCCTGGCCTTTCTGGCTGTCATTAACGTAAAACCAATTATGTCTTGGTAATGAATATCTTGTGTATTTTTAACACACACAAGCCCTTAATCACATCGTTTCCTTTATGAGGAAAGCTGTGAATGGATTGAGTCCCGTAGTTCACAGTTGGCTCTTGTAGCTCACCCTGGCAGAGAGTCTATAAATAAACCTGCAGTGGCAGAGTAGGGGTTTAGGTATTTGCATCGTGCATATTGTCTTGGATTTATTTCCTGCGTTTTAATGATGGATGACAGATGCAGTTCAAATCTTTCTGGTGCCCACAGCATGTCTATTTTTGGTCTCTTGGAATAATAAAGGGGATGTTGGCCCCCACTGTCTGACTGTGCAGATCAGGTTACTGCTATTAAAGGGAAGAATATTTTTCCCTGTTTTATTTTGTATGTTTGACAGCAGGCTTTGAGTAGTAGGCCTCAGCGTTTGCTGTGTGACATCCATTGGTTTTCCCTGGGGCCTGTTTGTGTGGATGAATTACTAGCAGAAAGAAGGAAAAGACATAGCTGAGTAGTTGTGGAACTACAGATCTTGGGAATATAGGGAGCAGGTGTCATTTCCAAAACTTGTGATTAAAAAGGAAAGTAATGCTGGATTGCTAGGTAACAGCACTGTTTAAAAGTACATTCACTCTAGGATGGAGGCAGGGTAAGAACGGCACCTTGACTGGTTTTTAGGGTATACACTGACAAAAACTTGGTCAGAGCCCTTGCCCTGGCCTCTTGAGTGTTCAGACACAGACCTTTTTAGTGCTTCTACGGCTGTGTTAATAGTGCAGATTCATACAGACCATTCTTGTGAAGCACATCAGTATTTTTGCTGAAATGAAACAGATCCTTTTCTCGTCCAAATCTCCCGGTGTTTCTCTGGAGATACTGTCACAATGTTAGTCTGGGTTGGCAGTGAAAGAAGTCCCAGTCTTGTGTTTTGCCACATTCCCTCGTACCAGCATTCATGCAGCTGCGGGATGAGTTGGATCAGGGAACTGATGTAGCTGAAAACTGTGACTGATTTACGTGAATGCTAGAGCCAGCATAAGGGAGGTGGTGGAAATGTGTACTGAGGGGACACAGGGCTTCCTTTCTTGCTACTGTGTGCCCTGACGTTGCTTCAAAGTGAGTATGTAATCCTGTTGTCCTTATCTGGAAGATGTCCTTGCTTTGTATCAGCTCCCTGAAGTGGTCTACTTGTGCATTTGCATGCGTTTGATGAAAATACTGTATGTGGCCTGCTTCTGTTAGCTGGGATGAAATTTTCCAGAACTCCTCCGTTCAAAAATCACTCAAGACTGCAGTAAATATGTTAGTTCTTTAATCTCAAGTAAAAATGGTGAAGGCGGTAGCTTTAGTATGGCACTTGAAAATGGTGTAGTGGGTAAATAACTTCCGGAGGTTTATAACTGGTGAAGAGTTTCTTTGTTGTGCGGTGTTGGAATTTGATGGTGATCTGTTGCGTTGAATGGGGTAAGGCTGAAGGGCCCTTGAGAAGGGAATGTTTGCTGCAGCAGGTTCTTGCATGCTTAGACTTAGTCAGTAAGTAGAAATAGGGTCATTTTAGTGAATATTTGATTAACAAACTCCTCCCCCCTTTCTGAATCTTACTCTGAACTCTGTCTGAGGTCTGTGCTAACTTTTAACAGGTTGTGGAGTGAAGCAAAGCATCTCTGTGATTCTCATTTTAAGAAATTAGTCTCTCTAACCATGAGATAGAGCCACTGCTAGAATTTAGGGGCAGTGGGGTAGGAATGGGGAGAGAGTTTTCTCTGCACAGTTCTTTATCACTGCTTTGGTGCAGCTACGCGTGGCTGATGTTATAGCAATAGTTGTCTTTGTGTTGGACCTTTCATTTTAGGATAGTGTCCATTTAAATACTGCTCTTGCCTAGCGTGAACAACTTGGAAATTAATCCTGCTTGAGCAGGAGATTGGACTATATGACCTCCGAAAGTCCTTTCAAAGATAATTCCTTGGTCAGGAGTGTATTAGTGACTAAGTACTAAGCAGCAGTGGTGTTTTGCCCATCCAGGGTATTGTAGGGTGCACTCCTGTATCAGATGGGCAATATCAACAGCAGACTTCTCAGAATTCCTGCAAATTTTCCGGTGCTTGAGAGTTATGTGAGTACTCTTCCCATACACCTGCAAGCACTGAAACCTGACAACCTGAGGAGAGCCACCTTCAGAAGCAAACTCTGGTCATGTGCATTCCCCATGCCTGTGCTAAGTGCAGCCTCCTCTGAGCCTTTTTAAGGCCTGCTGGTGTAAGGCAGCCTCAGTGCTGGGAAGGACAGAGGTGCCGGGTGCACTGGGGCCGATGGCTGTCATCGCTTTATAGCGGCTCTTCAACTGGCACCACCTCAGAGTGTTTGTGTGGCAGCACCCAGTGTGACAGAGTGAGTGGCTTCTGTGCCCTCTGGAGTCTAGTTTAGTAATTAGCCACTCCACAGAGAGGAAAACTGAGGGCTGAGTAGGTCAAGTTCGCAGCCGCAGAGGGAGCAAGTTGGGACTGGGTCTGGTAGAGGAGCACCTGGAGACAGACCCAAACTATTGGCTGTTCATTTCTAGAAGGGAGGCTGGCATGTTATGATAGCTGAAGATGTGATTCACTCTTCGTGAACCCACTTGCACCCTTGAATGCTGTACTCCACGCCACAGATGCATTCTTCTCTTCCTTCCACCCTGGACCTTCCTGCTAATTGGAAGCATCCCCCCTGTTTACTCAGTTCCTAACAGGGTGCTTCATACCAAATAATCAATCATACAAAGTTTCTTAGTTTGTGACACATCTTAATGTGCCGAGGAATAATTCTTAGCAAAGAAGGGGGTACTGAGTCATCTGGAAAAATAAACAGTCCTTGGACGCTTAATGGTGTTGATGCTTCTGCTGGTAGTTTTGTAACTTCAAACCTTCACTGCTGCCACAGGGTAGAAACAAATGGTGACTCCTCCCAGGAGTGGGGAGTGAGTTCAGAGTTTAGGCAGTGCTTTAGGACTCTGACATGTGGCCTTGAGCACATCTAGCTATGGTGGTCCTGACGTTGCTGTCCCTCTGGCAGCAGGCAGAATGTGCGCCTGTGCCTGCCCTGCCACAAACCAGCAGACCTCTCCTATCCGTTTTACGTAGTGGTAAGGATGAGGAGGCCCACCCTCTCTTGCCACCAAGGCCACCATGCCTGCCAGGGGAATAGAGATGGGGGTGACAGTGGCAGCTGGACTCCCCAAGAAGTGTCCAGCAAAGACAACAGAGAGGCCAACTTGCTGCTACTTGTTTGGGTTTTCTAGAGGGATCCAAACCAAAGCCTTGGTGCAATTCTGGAGGAAGTAGGAGCAGTGTTACCCACTGGGTTTGAGTTTCACCTGGGGAAACAGTACACCCAAGTGTAGAATGGGATACAGGCTGTCCTCCCTGCCAATGCAGAGTGTGGGCTTACAGCAAGGCAATGCAGTTGAACTTGCTTAGAAATCCTAGCAGCAGCAAGGCCTGGGTAATTGGACCTTGATTGCCAGCAGCACTGTAGATACTGCAGGGCCTTGTTTTCGTTAGGATCACACAGCTAGGTCAGGAGTTGTGGCAAATACACAGCCTTCTTGGAGTGTCATTTCAGAGAGGGGACAGTGTGGGGAAGCTCTGAATTCATTTGGAGATCTTCTACCCCCTGAAAAGTGGCTTTGTTTAGCAAATAAATGTAAGCTTTGACTGTTGCTGTTCTCTTCCAAACCTGCCTGTTTGACAGGTGAGATGGTTTGCCATGTATCTTGTACTTTGCTCAGGGAACGCTGATATAAAATTGCTGTGGTGCACATCTCAGTGCTTCTCATCTTGCTGTCAGGTAACGCTTGCTCTGTAGGACAACTGCAAATCCAAAAAATCACTTGTATCCCCAAGTAAGCAAACACACTGGGGAAAAATAAAAACAATAAAGAGAAAGTGAAGATTTAGCCTGGGCTTTACTTGGTTTTAATAAGAACAGCTGTGGCATCACCTGTCGGAAGGCTCTGTGGGTAGTTTTTTTCTCCCTAGAGAAGTTAGGTCAGCTTTGGTTTTAAAATAAAAGTTAAGAAAATGGCTTTACAATGTACTGCTACAGTTTGGCCCTAAGCTCATCAGAACTAGCAAAGGGAGATAAGAGGTCAATGTATTTTTAATGTTTACTTCAGAAAGGAGAGAAGCAGAGCATGTGTTGGTTACACTGCCAAGGTCTAAGCAAGCAGTGTCACACAGCAGTAGTTACAGTCAGATGGAAAGTCTTAGCTCTACCTGAGCTGGCTGGAAAGAGGACTGGCTGTAGGTCCCTGTTGTTTTCTCCCTTCACTTGGATCTGCCAGCATAGCTGCCTGGGTTGTCGCTCCCTAACCAATGTTTGGTCAAGTGATCCGGGTTCAGATATGCCTGTGTGATTGCCTGTGCAAGCTGGTCCCCATCAGTCTGACAGAATGAGGTTAGGGAACAGCCATAGATGTAGTCAGGGAAGAGGGTGTCATAAATTCAGTCAGAGGTTACTCTTGTAACCTGGCTCTGCTGCAGTTGGGGTGCTGTTTTGGTTTGCTTTGTAGGATACGCATCTGAATTATATTGTCTCCTCAATTCAGGCAGGCATTGTTGATCTGCTTTGTAGTGTGCCGTGGATGCTGTTACCACTCTGTGTGCTGTGGATTGCAGTGTCTAAAGAGGTGCTGAGGCTCTAGCATGTGATTCACATAAGGGAAGGGAAGTAAAACAAATTTTCTCCATTTTCCAGAGTTCATGATTCTCTTGTTTCTTATGCAGGGTGGGTTACCAGAATCCAAATGGCTCTCTTGAATAGGCGATTGGGTTTATCCTTAACCCATCTAAGCAGTACGGTGATCCAGCGACACTTCAGGTAATAGTCAAATCTTGCTTTTGCTTTTGTTTTCTTGGGAGAGTTTCCTCATTGAAAGAGATGCTGTTAAGTAGGTCAAGCATAAGGTATAGTATTTGTAATTCAAAAAGGATAATATAATAGAAAAAAAATAATCTCACAGTTGTTTCTTCACAGGTTGTAAAGTGAGCCCAAACACAACAACATATGCAGGTTCCTAGCAGTCTGAACGTGGTCTGAACTCTGCATTTTCATATGTGTGTAAGGAGGCTTTTAAACCTTTGAGGGCGATGCAAGGGCCTGCAAGCAGAAGTTAAAAGCACCTGTGTTTCTCAGCCGTGTGCAAAAAAGCAACAGCCAGCCCCTGCTGATGCAGAGCCAATTACATTTTAAAAATTATTCCAGAACTTATCATTCCAGTTATTTAGAGCAAAAGTAACCTGAAAAATTATTTCCTTGTACCTTAACAGTGTACATTTTGTTAACTTTCATCCTTGTTCGAGGCTCAAGGCATTTAAAGCTTCTTAAATTTATGGACCTTATATTTTACGATGCATTGCACAAAGCTTAGAGCCTAATCCCACAGTACACTCGGTGCAGGTACGGGGAATCTCTAGCATATAACTCTTTGAAGGGTCAGGGCTTCAGTTTAAAGGGTGAGAATAGTCATTCCCATGACTGTGGTCTGGAGAGGGGATTAAGACAATGCTCAGGGCTAGGTTTTGTGACAGTCCCAGGAGCTATCTCGAGGAGGTATGTAAGTCTTACTGGCTTTCTCTGTAAATGGGCTGCATGAGAGCATTGGCCAGTAGACATTTAGAGGATATATATATGCTGACAGCGGGAGGGAGGCAAAGTCCACAGATGTGAGCAGTGCTACAGGACATCAGCAGTCTTAATGGGGAAACGCACTCTTTGTGGTGGGCCTGCTTTGGATGTGGTGGGGTTTTGCTTCAAGACTGTGGCAGAAATGAAAAAAGGAGGGGAAAGAAAAAGTCCTCCTTGTGCAGTTACTCTTGTCAAGTGGTTATCAGGGCAGTCACACTTATAGTTGTTTGCTACTGCTTCGTTGTGGACTTGGTCCCACCTAGGTTTCCTCTTCTCCTTCCTGTGACAGCACTCTTGTTCTTTCCAGCCTCCTCCCTTCTGCTTTCCCTGCTGTGCCGCCACAGCTGGTAGGCAGAGGATAGAGAGTGTGGTATACCACAGTCCCTGCCAGGGGATGGGAGAGGGTAGCTGCTTGCAAAGGTGAGCAACTTCTGAGAGAGAAGAGAGGTGCCCTTTTGTAGGGGAAAGCTGGGGTAGGCCTCTGCTGTGGGAAACAAATCTTGAAAGGCAGCACTTGACCTCTGGAACAGTTAGACTAACACAGACTGACCCAGCTGGCCTTCCTTTACTGCATGTAAAAATGTCTACTTCAACTGATGTCCACCCACACTGTGGTTGATACACAGGGGATGGCTTGCTCCTCTTCCAGGCAGCGTTACAAATACAGGCCCTTTGTCTTCAAGAAGGGCTGATGGTCCCCACTGGTCTTTATTCACTGTATATGCTTCTGCTCTGCAAAATGAGGTGAACAGTTAGCTTGATTCCATATGCTGTCTATTTGAGTGGTTCAGCTGATAGCAGCTTGGCATATCTGCAGCTGTCTGGCCAGCATGTTTCCAGTACCTTACTGCAAAGCAGTTGTTTAGTAGTAGAAAGGATCTTCCTGATTTTCCGATGGTCTGTGTTTGGGCGTCCTTTGAAGAGAAGCAACAAATCACTTGAATTTGAGCTTACTGGATAAAAGAATAGCTGTTACTATAATGGGGGTTGAATTATTTCTGTTTATTCCTGCTGTTCCCAAGCATATTCAGAGTGAGCTCTAACAACTTAGTATTGTGCAGTTTATTTCTGTTGTTTCTTACTCCTGGTAATCCCACAGAGCAGATGCAGAAGAGACTGCATCCCTCTGGGTTCCTTCCACATGGGGAAGGTGATGACCTGTTAGATTCTAGTTGGTGGCAGCTTAGCACAGCCACAGCAGGACCTCAGAGGTCTCACTGAGAGCAGAATAAGATGGGGGACCCTCCTAGGCTTCACTGAAAAGAAGATGGGCCAGAAAAGTCCTTATTGCTGGGGACTGTGTACAAGATTGAAAGAGCCTGACTTGAGTCTTAGCTTCCTGTAGACTGTAGCAGAAGCAGGCACATTTTTTTGCTTGTAAATTGAAGTTGAATGGAATCATCTGCAGTTGCTAAAAAGCCCAGTAAATGCAAGCCACTCTTCACGCCATCTTTTAGTCGTGTTTCAGAGTAGAACGGTTGTTTTATGTTTGACATTTAGTGAGGAGTGTGCAAAGCCCAAAGTAGCATCTGGCTTTCAAAGAGCACATTGAAAGCAGTCAATGCATCACCCATATGGTATGTATTTGTTGCTGGCGCCTTCCGAGTGCTTTGTGTAATGACAAGATCCTGTGCTGGGTTTGCCCTTGCTCCCCAAGGATGATTGAGGAGATCTGTCTCTCATTCTTTCCTGTCTTTTGCTAGCATCACTGGAGCATGCCGAGCAATACAGAAACTCACCCGCGTGCGAGTGGTGGACAACAGCGCCTTGGGGAACACGCCGTACCACCGGCCACCAAAATGTATCCATGTGTATAACAAGACCGGAGTTGGCAAAGTAGGAGATACGATCCTTCTGGCTATCAAAGGAGAAAAGAAGAAGGCTTTAATTGTAGGGCATAAGATGCCTGGCCCCCCCATGACACCTAGATTTGATTCCAACAATGTGGTACTCATAGAAGACAATGGAAATCCAATAGGGACTAGAATAAAAACACCGATACCCTATATCCTGCGACAGAGAGAAGGAGAGTTCTCCAAAGTATTGGCCATTGCTCGCAACTTTGTATGAAAGCTAAGAAAGGTCTCTGGCAATCCTGTTTATATCCTTTCATACAGTAGCAGTTCCTTGGTCCTTTTTTATAAAATGGTGAAACGTGAAAAAGTTGAGGTCCATCAAAAGTCTCCCTTCCTGATTACAAGCAGCTAGTTTAAATGTTGAAATACCTTGGTTTTCTCCAAAAGAAGCTTGATTTATTTCACAGAACAACTGCAGTGTGTTTGGGAAATGGTCCTTCACCCTTACTGCTCCAGTGGTGTTAATTTGGTCTCTAATCATTAAAATGAGAACATGAAAATCCTTCTTGTTTTGTACTGCTGATGCTCTCTTTTCCCTATTTCTGCCTTTCCCAGTTCCCCAGGAGCAAGACGCAAAGTGCAGTCCCTGACCCATTGACACTGGGGTCTACAAAATGGATTCACATGTAATAGAGTAGGAGGGATATATAATGAACTATTCTTGACTTGGGCACATTCACTAAAAGGGTTACTTTCTACGTCTTGGCCTAAGAAAAGTCTTCAGAAGGAATCAGAATTGGGAGAGCATGGTGGCCTACAAACTTCAGTGGTGTGTGGTTGAACAGGGTATGCCAGAGATGGGGAAGCAGAGGTAGGAAGGGGAGGTGAATGGGGTAGGTTTGAGATGCAGCCTATGCTCTCCACCTGACCAACCTCAGGAAATCATGTTCTCCAAGTAATGCAAGGCCTGGGTTCAGACTGAAAAGTCCACAGAAAGAAGCTTCCTTTTGGACTGCTTTTTGGGACCATGTCAGATATTGCGATGTTGGTTGGTGAGGCTGCCTTTGTCCAGCTTCCTAAGCTAGGGCACAATAGAAGGCAAATGCTATTGTATTGCATTCAGGGCCAGCTGTGATCCAGGAGCCAAACAGCTGCCTTTCTATGGAGCTGAGCAGAGAAACTTGGCGCTTGTGGCAGGTAAAGGGGCATTGGGGCAGAGCACTCCTAGAAATAGCAGTGCGGGGGAAGAGGGTGCAGGGGATGCAGCCAGTGGGAGTCTGGCCAGCTTCAGGCCCCTGAGCTGACTTCTCACAGGTCTGGTGGCAGCAGCAGCTAGCTGTGCCTTGTCCTTCCTCCTCCCCTCCCTGCTGTGCTGGGAAAGCTCCTTACCTTGGCCCTGCATTGCCCCGGTGTGAAGATCTGAAGACTGCAGTGCTGAGCTATTCCACACTTCAACTAGTTACTCCTGGCAGATGTATATGCCCTATATTCTCCACTGTTGCCCATGGAGAACGTGAGCCCTGGATTCCCTTGTGCTCCATTACTTCAGGTAACGCAGGTAAGATGACACTTGAGTTTAAATTCAGTCTCGACCTTTAACGGCACTATCCCGCTTAGTAAAACCTCCCTGTGAGCTGGAGGGGCCCAAGCCAATGTGCTGCCCAGTTCTGTGGGAAAGCAGGATCGACTGCTGCTGGCAGCACGTTCCTTGTTTGCTGTTGTCCATGGGCTGGTGGATACTGAGTCTGCTGCTCTGAGTCCTCCTGAACCCCTCAGGCGCTGCCTTTAAGCCCTCAGCCTGCTTGCTTCACAGGTGTTTGCCTGCTGCCACAGCAGCCGAGCAGACGCTCGCCTGGCTGATGTCAGTCTTTCCAGTCTATCTGGGTGCAGTCAACTTCCAGGAGGAACTTTCCATGTTCAGAGGTGATGTTTATGGCATTTTGCTAAGCAGGATGGTGAACAAACTGTGCATGCCAGTCACAGCGATTAGTGTGACTGGCCTCCCTGCCTTGGGTGGGGTTTGCCTCCATGTCACAGGGCCATGGCATGGCCTGACTCACTGCCTTTTTTTCCCCAGTTGAATTTGTTCCTGGATCAGCACGGGATGCTCCTTGGGCACTTTTTTGGGGATGGGCGCTGTTCTGTTAGCAGCTTCCCAGCCCTTTGCTGATGCTTAGTGCCTGCCCTGCGGGCATGGGGAGCCAGGCGGGTGGGTGCACTGATGCCTGGAGTCAGGTGGCGGGGAGCAGACCTGCCTGGCCCTGGCATCCTCCTGCCAGCAGGCCAGGGTCTCTGGTGGCTCCCAGCCACCAGGCAGGGCCTGCCACGGCTTCAGGAGCAGAGTCGGGCCGGGGGTGTGGGACTAACTAGGCTCTGGTCAAGATCCAGGGGCTTTAGCGAGTGCTGGGTGCACAGGTGCAATCCTGGCACCGGGGGAGCCTTGTGTAGGGCTGCAGGGTGCTGAATTTACCTGAGCTGGGCTAAGGGGTGGGAAAGTCAGCACTGTGCCCTGCCATGAGCGGATAAATCTTCACAAGCCACTTTAGGTGTGTTTTTTAGCTTTTTCAAAGCTGATCCCAGTAGCAGGCTAAAGTATTTTGAGTAGAAAAAGGGTCTATGCTTTTATGCATTTTTAGGGAAAGTGTTTATGCCACTTAACAGCTCTGCAGTTTTGCTTTAGAAACCTTTCACAACCTTTGAAAGTCCCCCAACCCTGATAAACGCATAAACAAATACTTTTACAAGTTTTTTTATAAACAAATCATAAGCCAATTGCTATGTCTGTCATACCCTTCCTGCAGACAGAAGGAGCTCAGACTTCTTCAATGTAAATCCGTTTGAGAACAAGAGAGGAAGATGGCTTCCACTAACATAGGGCCAGAAAATATACTTTCAAATGGCACTTGCACGGGGTATTTCAGTTCTGTGCAAAGGCTGTGGGCACAGTGGAGGTGGGGTCCATCGCAAGCTGGAATACCTCAGTCCCAGCTAGCCTGGTTTATAACTCATCTAAAGGGCTGCTTTTCTGTGAGGTTTTTGCTTGGCAACAACTCCAGCCTCAAAGTGTCTCCCAGTAGGACCTGGGGGCCTGCAAACAATCCTTGTTTTTCTTGTCCTGACCATAAGTGCTATGAGTCTCTCATGGGATGCACGGATCCCGCTGTTTGGATATTAAATATTTCACAGAATATTTGCTAATAACTTTCCAGCGTTTCACTGGGGAAGGGGTCGTGGGGAGAGGGCATGAGAGGAAGCAGGCAAGACAATGCAGCATACTTGAGATTAAAATGTGAAGCAATGCTTTATTTCTAAGTAAACTGATATGTGGAACTAAATCCTTAACCTTGGAGCTTAATAAGCAGACATGCAGACAGCTAAGCTAAGCATATCCTGTAGAGTGTCTCCTGCAGTTTTTACCCGTCTTTCCCTAACGAGGAACGTGGCCTCGGCAGAAATCCCCAGCCCACAGTGACAGCTCTGTGCTTGGCAAATTCCAGGCGCTGCCTCTAGCAGCATCTCTCTGAGGGGAAAGGGCTGGCCTGTCTCGTGGGTGAGCCCTTAGCCTGCTCCCACCTGTCTGACTGAATTCGGCCCCACCAAGGCTGTGGGATGGTCAGCCCCTGACTGCCTCAGCGCTGCTCTGGCAGCAAAGCCTGCACAGGTGGGAGCAGATGGATGGTGCCTTGCCAGTGGCCCAGTCTGATGTAGGTTCTCCAGGCTCTCTCTCTTCTCCTTCAAGCAGGCCCTGTATTCCAGGTCCTGTCTTTTGTTTTGGCATAGAGGATGATACCTGCTTGTTCTCAACTTCCAGGCTGGTCCCCGCTCTGCTCTGGATGTGCCAGAGCCTTCTGAGCAGTGAGGCAGTCGTGTCCTGGGGGCAGCTGTTGGATTTCCTGGGCTCTAGCTTGTGGCATCCTTCTTTGGGATCTCCCTGAGACTGAGCTCCCCCCAAATGGGAGGCTTTTCCTTGTGCATCTATCCTGCTAGGAAATCAGATATGATTTCCTCTGTGGGTAGCAATTCTTGCAGGTCCTTTTTTTGAAGGATGACTGCAGGCTGGTGGGATGATTCCCTCAGCGGAGCGAAGAAAAACCAAAACACCACCTACCTCAGCTGCTGTCAGAAGGTCATTCTCTCCTTGCTCCCTATTTATGTTTACTGTTCTGCCATTAACATGATTTTGTATGGTAAATGGGAAAATTTCCCAGCGTGAGACGGTGCTTAGGAGGAATTCTCTCATCTCCTGTGCAGCCTCTGGGAGAGCTGCCACCCACTGGAGAGGGAAGGGGAAGCCAAAGGCAGAGTCCTCCCAGGGTCTTCTTGCCCTGTTACCAGTGTGCCTCCCTGGTCAGCTCCAACTGGGTCCCTGGGTTAGCGTCCACTCCCCTGTGTTTGGATATGGGGTCTGCAACAGACGAAGCTCCCAAGAGGGTGCCTGTTCCCTTGGCGATGGTGGGGACTTTGTGCCCAGACTTTCTTCCATGGGAGCTGGGGGAGAGGGGTCTTTTTTTAGGACATCCTGCATGGGTAGGGAGAGATGGCCTTTGGGGAGATGCTTGCTCAGAAAAGACATGCGACAGGGCTCTCTGGTGAGGGCTGGGATCTGGAAAGAGACAGGCGAGCACTGGGGATTAGCTGGCCATGAGAAGGGGTGTCCCCGAAAGGAAGCAGGCGAGACAGATTATTGTGGAGGGATGCAGTGGGGAGCTGATGTCTTCCATCTGCTTGGAGACCAAGGCTGGGAGACAGGCGGCCCTGTCTCATGGCTCTGTGCCAGCCAGGGTGGATGGACCACAGAGCTGGGGGAGGCAGCTAGTGACTTTGGGGGCTGGGAGGAGGGGGAGACAGCCAAAGCCCTGTCCGAAAGAGGGGCAATGCAGCCAGAGGATGGACTTTGGTCCAAAGTGAGCATCGCTTGGTTGACGGAGTGAGGGCGGTGAGCTGCACATCCCAGAGTGGGAGGCTAGATGGCAATGTGGGCATGATGGTGTGCCTGGCAGCCTGTCCCCACCGCCCCCTGTGCCGCTCTGCAGGCCCCTAAGCCTGACTGACACGCCGGAGCTGAAATGTCCCTCTGTCAGCACGTTCCCCAGCCACCGGCCCGCAGCAGGGCAGCAGAGCTGCGGGCAGTGAGGAGGAGAAAGATGGAGACTTTGGGGTGACCGAGCCTGACCTCGACCCTTGGGGAAAGATCCAGTGAGAGCCAGGGAACTCTGAGCAGGGCTGAGCCCTGTCTCCATGGAGGGGTGTTGAGTGGCTGGGAGCAGCAGGGTCACATCTAACCCCCATCCCGTTTTGGTGAGGGTGAGCTGGGCTAGGGAAATTGATGGAAAAATGGGTCTGCAAGCAGTGCTGTGACTCCCACAGGGCTGGTAGCTGCTTGTGGCAGGGAGAGGAGGGACACGATGCCCTGCCGAGCGGCAGGATGCTGGCTTATGGATGGCAGAGGGCTGCAAAGCAGGGGGCAGGAGTGGGCAGCGGGGGAGATGCAGCCTGGCTCTATTGGGAGGCCCGGAGCTGGGCCACTGTCCTGATGCAAAACAACCCCTCAAAATGCATTGAA